TATATTTATCTAATAATTAATTATCAAATTTTGCTCAACTTTGAGCTGTTTGCTACCCTCTCCGAGGACACCAGTTTATATGCTCCATTTATCCGCATATACATACATATATATGTTTATAGTTAATTTTGGGTCTGCCTCGCTCTGCGTGAGAATTTATCGCTGGCTGATAATATGCGTGCTTGGCATTGTTGTTTCGCATGCATTAACTAAACTCGTTGCTGGCAACCTGATAAATAATTGAAAAGAAAGCAAAGAAGAAGCTGAWGCTGAAGCTGATGCTGAAGCAAAGGCAGAACTTTGCCTCGGTGGCTGTGGAGCACCTGGCGCCGGAAGATGCCACTGAGACAACGCATGAGTTTGTCTTGTGCTGAAATAAATTTACTTGCATGCCAGATACACACACACACACACAGACACACACACATACGCACACACACACTCGAGTGCACTCTGCTAACTAAATTTTGCGCTGCGTACGCGACTCAGTGGAGTGCAAAAGGCATTGGACTGACTTGGACTGACTTATGGCTAGATAAGCAGTCGAGTTTGAGTTACAGGTTAATTTATTATTGAAACTAATGTTGGCAGTCCAATAGGGGGCGGTGTGGGTAGGGGCAGGGGCGTGGTTTTGAGTGTCATTGCAGGTGGCGTCACTGCTGACGTCGCCGGCTTGGTGACTCACTTGGCCTGGCTGGGGCGGGTTAGGCTGCGTCTGCGGCACAAATTATGAAATTCAACTTGACAAATGTCAGTGACATTAATTAAACGTTGAGATATGGCAACAACAGCAGCAGCAGCAGTAGCAGGAGCAGGAGCAGCAGCAGCAGGAGCAACAGCAGCTGCAGCAGGAGGCTGTTCGGCTTGGGCAGTTGCCAAGGTGTATAGCCTTAAAGAGGACAATGCAATTTTGCATTTCATTTATGGAAAATCAATAAGCGAATCGTAATCCGATTGAGAACTCAATTCAATTGCAGTTGAGCGTTGAGCGTGCCACATGCAAAGGGAAATTGCCACATTTGGAGGCAGACAGCAAATCTTTAAAATAAACTTTAAAAGCAGCCAGCGTCCATTTTTTTTACTTTATTCTATTTTATATTTTCTTTTTTTTTTGTTTTTTTTTTTTTTCTTTTTTGCCATCTTTCCCACTATTTTCTGACTTTTTCACTTTGCTCTCCAGTTTGTTGCAGTGCCAAGCACGCTCTACTTTTGCCTCTCCAACACTCTCCCTCCCTCACTCTGTCTCTTTCTCTCTGGGTATCTATCTCTGTCTGGCTGCTTTTTGTTTTCGCTGGCANGACATTAATTAAACGTTGAGATATGGCAACAACAGCAGCAGCAGCAGTAGCAGGAGCAGGAGCAGCAGCAGCAGGAGCAACAGCAGCTGCAGCAGGAGGCTGTTCGGCTTGGGCAGTTGCCAAGGTGTATAGCCTTAAAGAGGACAATGCAATTTTGCATTTCATTTATGGAAAATCAATAAGCGAATCGTAATCCGATTGAGAACTCAATTCAATTGCAGTTGAGCGTTGAGCGTGCCACATGCAAAGGGAAATTGCCACATTTGGAGGCAGACAGCAAATCTTTAAAATAAACTTTAAAAGCAGCCAGCGTCCATTTTTTTTACTTTATTCTATTTTATATTTTCTTTTTTTTTTGTTTTTTTTTTTTTTAGATGAGCTTTTTCGCACACTTCGCCAAGTTCCGCTTCCGGCGGCAAGCAAAGCAATGCAAACACAGCCCACGCTCTACTTTTGCCTCTCCAACACTCTCCCTCCCTCACTCTGTCTCTTTCTCTCTGGGTATCTATCTCTGTCTGGCTGCTTTTTGTTTTCGCTGGCATAAAAATCATTAAACTGATTTATATTCCGTTTGATTCCCTCGTTTCCCTCGGCTACGCGTCATGTGTGCCCGTCTGTTGCTCTTTTTCTCTTTTTTATTTCCGCTCAGTGAACTGCTAGGGGTATCTCGACCACCGACTCAGCAGTGAGAGGCTGAATAAAATATATATTTATATGATATTATATATTTCAGCTGGTTCCATCTTCAGTCTTCTATTTATTTCGAAATTTGTTCCCATATCTGATCTAATTATTCATTTTTCTATATAAAATCAACACTTGTATTGATTTATAGGGTATTTGGGTGTTCAGCACTATCGACTTGTTGGCCAACACTTAAATGTTTTGCTGCTTGAACTTGAGATCAAGTTTGATAAAAGGGTCGCTCGACAGACCATGCCCATGCCCAGTCGCAGAACCCATGCGAAATTCGATAATTCAAGTCAATTTCGCATGTGTCGGGGTCGCTCAAGGGTTAAGTGATTTCTTTTGTTTCTCTTTTCGCCGCTRCTGCCACCTCCTTTTCTTCTTCTTCATCGACTCCGACTGCTGCTGCTGCATTTAGTCAACTGTAAAATAAAGTCGCATAAATAAGCTCGCCGCCCAGCAAGCACATGAAATATTTAAAGTTCATTTTTTCTTTTTTCTTTTTGAAAATATTGATTTTGTTGAGAAACAGCACACGAAATACAATGCATGCATAATCTAAATCTCTCTCTCTCTCTCTCTCTCTCTCTCTCTCTCTCTCTCTCTCTCTCTCTCTATCCGTCTCTCTTACCGCCCATGACTCGCCAGTGTTGGCTAATGCGCTGTAGGCGTTGACCAGCATCAAAAAAATGTGTGCACTCTTGTTCGCATAACCAACAACAACTACGAAATGCCAGCGCACTTGGCAACCCGAAACCCCAACACCCTACATCTACCCTCTACACGCCGTACCGCTCGAAACCAGCCGGAATCGAGCCACCTTCCGGCAAGCCGAGCGACCACCTTGAAAGGGTTGACGTTACACAAACTCAATTCAATTTCGTTGAAATGTTTTATTATATACGTATTTTGTTGTTATGCATGTTGGTGTCGTTGTTGTTGCTGTTGTTGTTGTTATTGTTGTTGTGACTGATTTTAATGTAATTGCCGGTAATAGCAAACACTTTTTATACGCTAACAACTTGTTGTTGCTGTCGTTGTTGGTGTCGTTGTCGTTGGCCGCGCTTAATGTTCATTTGATAATTTAGGTTATTTCTTTCTCTACCCAAATTGAATTCTAATTTCATATTAATTTGCACTTGCTTTTGGGTCATATCGCTTCGGCTAATCTCCAAACTTGTGTAGGTTAAATGTTTAAGCCAGCATCACCATTTTTGCCATGTGCTGAAAATGCAAATTGAAAATTAGAATTGGTTTTAGGTTCACCAAATAACAATTTGAATTACTATACTATCATATATAATTGTAAGTATGTATCATAAAAAAAAAATAAAATAAAAGTAAAAAGCAATACTAGCTACAATATCAAATTTTATTACATTAAAATTTATTTTGCTATTGCTTCTATTTGGTCTGCCCGAACTTCGCCCACGGCTTCTTTATCTCTTATCTTGTGACATTTCTATACTTATTAGCTCGAGGTCTAGGTTAGATAAAGTGAAATACAATTAATGATAAAACTTGGCATTCAATTACAATTATGTATACATTTAAGATGGAGTAAGCTCCGATAAATGTATGATTAATAGTAGCCTGAAACAAGCTGAGCGGAGCTATCCTGAATTTTTCCACAGCCAGAGACTGATGAAGGAAAACATTTTGCGATACGTCAACTAGGGGTGTATGTTCGGTATACGATATTCGGTATCTACATAGAATCTTCATATTCTAAATATGTCAAGATCAAATATATATAGCGAATATATCCGAGACAATACGGCTTGTAGCGATCCACGAAAGGGTAATACATATGTTCAACAACTTTTAAGGTAAAAGCTTAATGATGAACTGAGATTAATTTTCAAGTCCTTTTGGAAACCTAACACATTGAAAAATATCCTATAAATCTCACAGTTTTTGTATAGCTCTAGTGGCAAATGATGAAAATCTACATAATTAAATTAAGAACTCAAGATTTAATAAGTTAAGTCAATTGATTAGCTAAAACCAAAATTGTATTTGCCAATTGGATAACAATATATATTGAATTATTTTAAAGCTTAAATGTTTTCAAAAAGAGGTAACGAACTGAAGACTTCTTGCTGTTACTTCTATAAAAGTTATTAAACCTTTGAACGAGTATTATGCAGCTGGTAGCGCGCGACGGGAACATTCTCGTTTCCATTTTAATGTAATTGATTTCTCTTCCTTTTGTTATGCCTACATGTGTAGTTAATATACATATTTCCGCTGAGCACGTGTCTGTGCTATAGCTCCAGATTGGTCGATCGCAATGAGACATTATCTATGATAATTACTTGAAGTTTCGGAGCCAAGAGGCCCTCGTGCACGCACCGAATCGGAATTCTTGGTTTAGGTCTATGTATGTACCTATGCGTATTGATAGAGAGCACCAATTGTCTACCATTCCCATTTCTTATCAAATTGATTATAATTGGCAATTATTACGGGCATCGCATATAGCAGCGACGACATCAGCCCCATTGATGCTTATCAATTGGGACTCCAGAAAATACGCGAACAAACAAGCTACAACATGTTTCGACAATTATCAATGAAAATTGCAATCAAAAGACTTTCTTCGAGTGACTAATTGTTGACTAAGAGAATTTCTAGTTATTGTGTATTTAGATTACGAATAGTTTAAAATTTTTTTTTTTTTTTTTTTTTTTTTTAGGAATTATATTTTTGAAATTTATTTAGAATTTGTTTCCTAAATTTAATAATGATAATGTGAAATTATTATTATTAAATTTACATTTTTAATGAAATAAGAGCAGTTCATGTAAATAATATTTTGATAATGGTAATAGTAAATCAGTAGTATTTGTAATAATAGCAATAGTAGTAGTATAATAACATTAGAAGTAGTAAAAATATTAATAATAGTGATAATAGCAGTAGTATTAAAATTAGTAATAGTCGTAGTAATAGCAGTAGTAGTAGCAATAGTAGGAGTGATAATAGTAGTAGTAGTAATAATAGTAATAGTAGTAGTATTAATAGTAGTAGTAATAATAGTAATAGTAGTAGTATTAATAGTAGTAGTGATAATAGTAATAGTAGTATTAATAGTAGTAGTGATAATAGTAATAGTAGTAGTAGTTGTAATATTCGTAAAAGTAGTAGGTTTAATAGCAGTAGTAGTAATAATAATAGTAATAGTAGTAGTATTAATAGTAGTAGTGATAATAGTAATAGTAGTAGTATTAATAGTAGTAATGATAATAGTAATAGTAGTAGTATTAATAGTAGTAGTGATAATAGTAATAGTAGTATTAATAGTAGTAGTGATAATAGTAATAGTAGTAGTAGTTGTAATATTCGTAAAAGTAGTAGGTTTAATAGCAGTAGTAGTAATAATAATAGTAATAGTAGTAGTTGTAGTAGTAGTAGTAGTAGTAGTAGTAGTAATAAAAATATAAATAAAATCTGTTAAATTAGTAGCTATTTGTTATTTTATTGCTTAAATACGAAAACTTGTGAGAATCACATAGATGCCAGTATTTTGTATAGTGTGTTTTATTCATAAGTACTTTTCAAATCGTCAGCCGCTATCCGAAAATAAGATGGAAAGGATAGGCTTTGTCATTCAAATACTTTTATTTTTTATTATTTTATTATTTTTTATTATTTTATTGTGGTCATGGCAAATCTTATTCCCTAATAACATTTGGTTTTCTCAAACAATGAACGAACCAATTGCGTTCGACTAAAATATCATATTTTACCTGCCCTGAATATGGGGGTTTCCTTGCGTATATGACAATATAGATATATGTAGATGTTATGTATRCATACATACATATATAAACAACGGTATTCATGAGTACTAAATCTAATATTAATCACTATTTAGGTCCGGTAATTCAATTTAAATTGCCGGACTTCTCAGTGCTCTGCGTGTAAGTCGGGTGTGGGTCAAGCATCTAATTAATTAAGCAATGGTAAATTCCTTTGATAAATTAACGGCACTGACCACATTCATGGCGATATAGAAGAGAGAGAGAGAGAGAGATACTCCGAAAGGGATAAAAAGGGGCGTAGGGAGGAAGATATGCTGATAGAGAAGCAGACAGAGAAGGCTTTATGTTGTCTTATTGTTGACTGACTATTGCAACATTAATGCCAAATTCGGAACTGAATGGCATGATGTTAATTTGTATACAAAAGTTGACGAGACGCATGAAGTGTACCGTTTGTCTAATTTCCGAGTAAGCACAATTAAATAAATTAAAAAAGAAGAAGCAGCAGCAGGTGATTTTTTGTTTCTATCGATAAGATATGCCAGTGGGCAAAAGACATCAAAAACATACAAATCAGGTACCGCCCAGCATCCCGAGCAGCAGTTAATATCAAGGTAACAGCGGAAAACGACGCTCTATCAGATACTTATCGCAACGACATGTCGATAAGGCATCTCAACACAATTCGGTTGCCTATCGGCCTATCGGCCCGTTTGGCGGCGCACTACCATATAAAAGCGACTGCCCCTGGCAGTAATGTCATTTGAGTCAAGCAGCTTGTGCAATTCTTTGTATCAAGTTCGAAGCCCCAGCAAAAACAAAACAGGAATAGCTGTCCCGCTCTCTCGGCCGATTGAAGATGAGAGCCCATTACGGTATGTGGGCACTTGCCACACCATCAAGGACTTAACTATAAATGTCTGATCTCGCCTTTTAGTCCTTGCCTGCCTGGCTGTTTTGGTGGCTACCACCGGAGCCGCCAACATACGACCCACGGTGAAGGTCGTCAACAATTCGCTGTATCGCCGCTACGTGTGCCTGAACAAGTCGAATGGATTCCGCGCTCTGGTGCCCGGTAGCTGCTCTAGATTCTACGAGTGCCAGAACGGTGTCGCCTCCGAGACCAGTTGCCCCGGATTCTATGACCCGAAGGTTCAGGGTTGTGTCAACTATAACACAGGATGCGTTGAAGTGATGCAAGTGGCAGGACCCGTTGTTGGCAACAATGTGGAGCCGTGTGGTGAGACAGTGCCGACAACCACTCCCTGCGCTGAAGTCACGACTCCCCCATGTGAGCCAGAGACAACTCCGCCCTGTAACTCGGAGACGACACCAACAACAACCACTTGCACTACGACAACATGTACGACACCAACAACAACCACTTGCGCAACAACAAAAACAACCACAACAAAGACAACTACTTGTACAACACCAACAACAACCACTTGCGCTACGACAACATGTACGACACCAACAACAACCACTTGCACAACAACAAAAACAACCACAACAAAGACAACTACTTGTACAACACCAACAACAACCACTTGCACTACGACAACATGTAC